TTTACTGTTTCAGTGTATCGTCATTCATTACCTCAGGGCAATACTTTACTGTTTCAGTGTATCGTCACTCATTACCTCAGGGCAATACTTTACTGTTTCAGTGTATCGTCACTCGTTACCTCAGGGCAATACTTTACTGTTTCAGTGTATCGTCACTCATTACCTCAGGGCAATGCTTTACTGTTTCAGTGTATCGTCACTCATTACCTCAGGGCAATACTTTACTGTTTCAGTGTATCGTCACTCATTACCTCATGGCAATACTTTACTGTTTCAGTGTATCGTCACTCATTACCTCAGGGCAATACTTTACTGTGTCAGTGTATCGTCACTCATTACCTCAGGGCAATACTTCACTGTGTCAGTGTATCGTCACTCATTACCTCAGGGCAATACTTTACTGTGTCAGTGTATCGTCACTCATTACCTCAGGGCAATACTTCACTGTGTCAGTGTATCGTCACTCATTACCTAATGACATTGCATTACTGTGGCAATGTATCGTTACTCATAACCTCATGGCAATACTTCACTGTGTCAGTGTATCGTCGTTCATTCCCTCATGACAATGCTTTACTTTTTCATTGCATCTTCATCTATTACCTCATGGCATTACTTCACTGTGTCAGTGTATCGTCACTCATTACCTCATGGCATTACTTCACTGTGTCAGTGTATCGTCACTCATTACCTCATGGCATTACTTTACTGTGTCAGTGTATCCTCACTCATTACCTCGTTGCATTATTTCACTGTGTCAATGTATCGTTACTTATTACCTAATGGCAATAAATCGCTACTCATGACATTACATTACCATTACTGTGACAGTGTATCGTCACTCATTACCTCGTGGCATTACTTTACTGTGTCAGTGTATCGTTTCTCACCTGATTTATTTCTATGTATGATGTATTATACATTTTTACTGTCGCAGTCAGTAATAATTCCGCTTTGTGACCTATTTTTAAAGGACGCTTAACTATGGTAACGGCATGCATGATGTCATAAATCTTTACTCTGATTGGACGAATATACGGATATATACAGCAATACAAGGAAAAAGATTACATTTTTTACAATATTTGTGGTATTTTTATTGTCTTTTTTTTATCATATTGCTCATTATGTATTTAAAAAAGCAAATTTTTTTTACTAGAGCGCTATAAGTTAAAAAAAAAAGAGAGCTTTAAACTCTTCTTAACAGTTTTTGAACAAACAAATCGGTATATGTTAGTTAACTTATCCTGGAAATGTAAGGTGATCCTAATTGACGTTTATAACGTGTTGTTTTAATTCTTTACAGCACTTGGTCGATACCTCTGCTGGTGAACTACAGTCCTCGAGGGTAACATTAGCTCAGTAGTCAGTTCCGAATTTATAACAATCCTTTGTAAAATTGTTCGTTGATAAATTTTGAAATTATAAAGAATTTAAGGTTTCAAATCCTCCTGCAAAGTTGACCTTAAATGGATTCGGCTATTTTTTGTAATTTTTGGTTATATAGCTCTTCAACTGTTTCAGTTCTTATACATCCTTGGCAATCAAATATTTGGCTTTCAGCGTTCCTGATGAACATGACGAAGGTAAATCCAGACAAGCGCTTTGGACGCATGAAACTTATAACGTGCTGTTTTTATTTTTTATAGAACGATCAAATCGGTATCTGTTAGTTAACTTATACTGGAAATGAAAGGTGACGCTACTTGACCCAAACGGCGTCAGGAGTTCAAGTCAACGGGTTACTGAACTGTGCAGTATACACATGTAACTTACATTTAAGCGCCACTGATGAGTTCCATGCATTACTAGACAAAAGGCGATTTTGGCAAACCAAATATAAGCCTTGCGTGCTTGGTTGGTCAATGATTGAATAACTGTTTCACATATGACGTCAATGATATATCTATATATATATTTGTTCAGTCTACGTGGCCGAGTGGTCTAGAGCGCTGGACACAGTGCAGGCGGTGTTGTCTCGATATACCAATAGCATGAGTTCGAATCCCGGCGAGGGCAGAACAAAAATTTCCTTCCGCAAATTTGCAGATTTAACATTGCTGTGCTGTTATTTAGAGTAATTATTAATATAAAATGTGTTTTCAGTCGTGTATCACCTTCACTGGTGATCTAATAAATGGATCTATCGTAGAGTTGTCACTTGTTTAGACGTACTCATTATATATATATATATATATATAGGGTTTAAGAACATCAGTTGTTCGACCTGTAAGTCAAATGCGATTTGTTAAAATATACTTTTCGTTTTTTTCGGTCTTTTGAAAAATGTTGCTTGTGCTGTATTTAGACCCCTCTACCAAGAAATTTGTTTTACATGCACACGTATAAAAATTGCGGTTTTTATCCAACGCAATCATAGGTTTGAACGTTGTTTTCAATTTAGACTTGTTTATATGTTTTCGTTTCAGCTTGTATTATATTTTCCTTGGGGTTTATATGATCCGTTCATCCTATTTTGACTCTTTAAAATTCAAGAGTCTATCCTAAATTGAGGTAAATTATATGGCCTTCCATATACCGTTTCGATCCATAACATCACTGAAGAGACATTAATTGTCGAAATCCAGATATTGTGTACAAATTTTTGCACCTGATGTTTGCGGTATACCATCTTTTTCGCAAGTTTATTGTTTTCTGTTTGGTATTTAATTAATAATTAAGATCCATGTTACATCTCGTGATCAATTTATGTGGCAATCGTCAATGGCAGTCATCAGGGTTTAAGAACATCAGTTGTTCGACCTGTAAGCCAAATGCGATTTGTTAGAATATACCTTTCACTTTTTTGGTCTTTTGGAAAATGTTGTTTGTGCTGTATTTAGACCCCTCTACCAAGAAATTTGTTTTACATGCACACGTATAAAAATTGCGGTTTTTAGCCAACGCAATCATAGGTTTGAACGTTGTTTTCAATTTAGACTTGAATATACATATATATATAGAGAGAGTTGTCACTTGTTTAGACGTACTTATTATAATATATATATAGAGTTGTCACTTATTTAGACGTTCTTATTATATATATATATATATATACAATGTATATACATGGGGATGTATCACATCTTGAAAGTCTACGAATTGAGTTATTGCTTTCTTTATTTACGTACATTCTATACAGTTATACAAGTACATATATGTCTATTTCATAATGATTAATTGTGTTCTGTTGATTTTATCTTTGAAAGTTGATATGCTACATATACCATATACGATATTCAGATGCAGTTAAGCCAGTTCTAAAAATTTTATACAAATCCGAAATAACGAACTACCTATATTTCGCCTTTCTCATAATAATGACCATAGGTTTCTACCTGTACTTACTATTGATTTACCTCCTGTGATTTTTTAGACCCCCCCCCCCCCCCCACTCTCTCTCTCTCTCTCTCTCTCTCTCTCTCTCTCTCTCTCTCTCTCTCTCTCTGACAATGATGCATGTCGTCAACATATTTATCATGTTCTGCTGTCTCTCGTCAATATATGATGCCTTTCGTCACTATTTCTTCCACATATATCTATGGTAAAACATTGGTCTCAAAAAAGATCTTGATTACTTTCATTTAATGAACATAATTATAGTAACTATTAATAAATGAGGAGGGAATTATCGTTATAGAGAGATTGCTCTTGGACGGACAGAAGTCTGATTGACAACATTAATAATTCCATCGCCTGTGCCTATGTGAATATGATTTTAATTGAAGAATTCATCATACATTAAGTTTGCTATTCAAACATCTGCACTCAGTCTGTGAAAAGTTATTAAAGAAAACAAAACATTCAAAATTCAAGTAAGCCGAAACTGTACCATTCCCAAGCGAAGGTTGTCGTCCGTTAACTTTTGACCCTACACTACTCAATTAAACTTAGTAGATATTTCTCCTAGAAAGTTTGCCTAAATATTTGATGGGATAAACGATATGTCACTAGAACCATTCTCTCCCATATGGTAAACTAAAACTTCGTTCAAACAAATAGTACATAACTGATCCTTGTTTCACACTAAGGATAGTTTTCTTTTATCAAGGACAGCCTCTGTGAAAAATATACAAGATCATGCAATACATTAAAAAACCTTCAATAAATGGATCTATGTATATTATAAATCATACTGAAAGTTTTGAAGGAGATTTCTTATACTTGAAAAAAAAACGTAAATATAAAAACTATTACCGATATTTAAATCATTTTGATGTAATTTATATTTTCTAGATCAATGTCAAGTCGGTGTGTCGGAAGAGGTGTTGTGTCATCCTAGAGATAATTATGCATCAACTTGTAGTCAAACAACAATTGACTCCTCAACAACAAAGCAAGGCACAACTGAAGCCTCCACAACTGACACAAGCTTCAATACTCAATCATCTCCAATTCAAACAACAACAAAACGAGGCACAACTGAAGCCTCCACAACGGACACAAGCTTGAATACTCAATCAACTCCTATTCAAACAACAACAAAACAAAGCACAACTGAACTCTCCACAACGGACACCAGCTTGAATACTCAATCAACTCCTAATCAAACAACAATAAAACAAAGCACAACTGAAGCCTCCACAACGGACACAGGCTTGAATACTCAATCAACTCCTATTCAAACAACAACAAAACAAAGCAAAACTGAACTCTCCACAACGGACACAAGCTTGCATACTCAATCAACTCCTATTCAAACAACAACAAAACAAGGCACAACTGAAATCTCCACAACGGACACAAGCTTGAATACTCAATCAACTCCTATTCAAACAACAACAAAACAAAGCAAAACTAAACTCTCCACAACGGACACCAGCTTAAAAACTCAATCAACTCCTATTCAAACAACAATAAAACAAAGTACAACTGAAGCCTCCACAACGGACACCAGCTTCAATTCTCGATCAACTCCTATTCAAACAACAACAAAAGAAACCACGACTGAAGCCTCCACACCGGACACCAGCTTGAATACTCAATCAACTCCTATTCAGACAATCACAAAACAAGGCACAACTGAAGCCTCAACAACAGACACCAGCTTCAATTCTCGATCAACTATTCAAACAACAACAAAAGAAACCACGACTGAAGCCTCCACACCGGACACAAGTTTGAATACTCAATCAAGTCCTATTCAGACAATAACAAAACAAGGCACAACTGAACCCTCCACAACGGACACCAGCTTCAATACTCAATCAAATCCTGTTCAGACAACAACAAAACAAGGCACAACTGAACTCTCCACAACGGACACCAGCTTCAATACTCAATCAAGTCCTATTCAGACAACAACAAAACAAGGCACAACTGAACTCTCCACAACGGACACCAGCTTCAATACTCAATCAAGTCCTATTCAAACAACTACTATTGATTCTAAAACAACAAAACAAAGCACAACTGAACCCTCCACAACGGACACCAGCTTCAATACTCAATCAAGTCCTATTCAAACAACTACTATTGATTCTGAAACAACAAAACAAAGCACAACTGAACCCTCCACAACGGACACCAGCTTCAATACTCAAGCAAGTCTTATTCAAACAACTACAATTGATTCTAAAACAACAAATCAAGGAACAACTGAACTCTCCACAACGGACACCAGCTTCAATACTCAATCAAGTCCTATTCAGACAACAACAAACCAAGGCACATCTGAACTCTCCACGACGGTCACCAGCTTCAATACTCAATCATATCCTATTCAAACAACAACAAAACAAAGCACAACTGAACCCTCCACAACGGACACCAGCTTCAATACTCAATCAAGTCCTATTCAAACAACAACAATTGATTCTAAAACAACAAAACAAGGCACAACTGAACACTCCACAACGGACACCAGCTTCAATACTCAATCAAGTCCTATTCAAACAACTACTATTTATTCTAAAACAACAATTCAAGGCACAACTGAACTCTCCACAACGGACACCAGCTTCAATACTCAATCAAATCCTGTTCAGACAACAACAAAACAAGGCACAACTGAACTCTCCACAACGGACACCAGCTTCAATACTCAATCAAGTCCTATTCAGACAACAACAAACCAAGGCACATCTGAACTCTCCACGACGGTCACCAGCTTCAATACTCAATCATCTCCTATTCAAATAACAACAAAACAAAGCACAACTGAACCCTCCACAACGGACACCAGCTTCAATACTCAATCAAGTCCTATTCAAACAACAACAATTGATTCTAAAACAACAAAACAAGGCACAACTGAACACTCCACAACGGACACCAGCTTCAATACTCAATCAAGTCCTATTCAAACAACTACTATTTATTCTAAAACAACAAATCAAGGCACAACTGAACTCTCCACAACGGACACCAGCTTCAATACTCAATCAAATCCTGTTCAGACAACAACAAAACAAGGCACAACTGAACTCTCCACAACGGACACCAGCTTCAATACTCAATCAAGTCCTATTCAGACAACAACAAACCAAGGCACATCTGAACTCTCCACGACGGTTACCAGCTTCAATACTCAATCATCTCCTATTCAAACAACAACAAAACAAAGCACAACTGAACCCTCCACAACGGACACCAGCTTCAATACTCAATCAAGTCCTATTCAAACAACAACAATTGATTCTAAAACAACAAAACAAGGCACAACTGAACACTCCACAACGGACACCAGCTTCAATACTCAATCAAGTCCTATTCAAACAACTACTATTTATTCTAAAACAACAAATCAAGGCACAACTGAACTCTCCACAACGGACACCAGCTTCAATACTCAATCAAGTCCTATTCAAACAACAACAAAACAAGGCACAACTGAAATCTCCACAACGGACACCAGCTTCAATACTCAATCAAGTCATATTCAAACAACTACAATTGATTCTAAAACAACAAAACAAAGCACAACTAAACCATCCCGAACGTACACCAGCTTCAATACCCAATCAAGTCCTATTCAGACAACAACAAAACAAGGCACAACTGAACTCTCCACAACGGACACCAGCTTCAATACTCAATCAAGTCCTATTGAAACAACTACAATTGATTATAAAACAACTAAACAAGGCACAACTGAAGCCTCTACAACGGACACCAGTTTCAATTCTCAAACAACTATTCAGACAACAACAAAACAAGGCACAACTGAACTCTCCACAACGGACACCAGCTTTAATACTCAATCAAGTCCTATTGAAACAACTACAATTGATTATAAAACAACTAAACAAGGCTCAACTGAAGCCTCTACAACGGACACCAGTTTCAATTCTCAAACAACTATTCAGACAACAACAAAACAAGGCACAACTGAACTCTCCACAACGGACACCAGCTTCAATACTCAATCAAGTCCTATTCAGACAACAACAAAACAAGGCACAACTGAACTCTCTACAACGGACACCAGCTTCAATACTCAATCATCTCCTATTCAAACAACAACAAAACAAAGCACAACTGAACCAAAAGAAACCACGACTGAAGCCTCCACAACGGACACCAGCTTGAAAACACAATCATCACATATGCAAACAACAACAATTGATTCCTCATCAACAAACGAAGGCACAACTGGAGCGTCAACAACATACACAAGCTTTATTAGTCAATCTACGTCAGATGTGATATCAACTATTCATTATAACGAAGGTAGTAGTAATATAACGACAGGATCTAGCTGTTTGTGTCCTTGTATTCCATATAACACAACACAGGCAAATCTCGATTCTATGCAAGAATATTTGAACATTTTGAAGAACTCAATTGCTATCGATCCAAAAGAGACCAGTATGTTTAAGGCCGGGAAAGTATCAGCAAAGGATGATAGACAATCTTCAAAGTACATTGGTTTTGTTGGAGTTTTAGTTATGTGTTTAGTTCTTGGATGTCTTTTACTTTCGGATATCTCAGGCCATCTTATTCGAACAAAGGCATCACATTAAATATGTTGAAATTGGCTTTTTTTTATATATATAAACATCGAATTTATTTTTAAACTAGATGGTTGATATTGAGACTTCGAATAAAAGAAAATGTTATTAAAAGTTTAAATTTCAACAAAATGCAGTTGGCAATGCAATGTTGTATTTTGAAAGTTCGAATATTCCAAGCAAACATAAGACAGTATATATAATTCTGTGCATGTCCAAATTCACCTCCAGAAGGCACTTGTGGATTGGTTGTTACTGGACATTTCCCTTTATACCGTTGAGTCTTTTTAGACGAAACACACGTCTAACGTGCAAAATGTTGATCCTGGTATCTATGATGGGGTAAATTATTAGTTTTCTAAATCTATTTGTAATTATCTTAGTCATCGATGACTTGTTGATTTTACATACTATTTCAAACAATTTAGTATATGTATTCCAAAATGAAAAAAAGGAACAATTACTTTGTTCAGAATTGTTAACAAGCATTGAAGGTTGTAAATGCTGTATTAAAGTAAAAGGTAGAATAACCGCAAAAAACAAACGAACTTCGAGGAAAATTCAAAACAGAAAGTCCCTAATCTAATGGCAAAATTGTACACGAACCTACATAAATCATGTTTTGAATTAAATGCCTCCAATGTCTTTCGTTATATATTCATAAGGAGATGTAGTATGACTGCAAATGAGACAACTACCCAACAGATTCCAATGGCTTTGATGTAAGCAATTATAGGTATAATTAAGTACATGTATATCCTCCTGTCTTGGCTTTGACAATTGTGATGGGCTTAAGTAAAGGCAGTAGTAGTAAAACGCTGTTCAAACGTGTTTAAACCTCCCCTAGCCCGGGACAGTGGTTAAACTGCACAACATAAGAAAGAAATGTACATAACTGTTAGAAGTGACTTTACACATCAGATTTGCACAAAAGACTTAACAACTTACATAAAGACTAATCAGTATGCATATAGGCTCTCCTGGAGAACGCGTGTATTTTATACTATTTAATTTATTCTGTATACTCTTATTTATGATATATGCCTCTGTCTTGCTTTCGTATAGTTTTTGTATGTCTGTGCATATGCATGATGTATTATTTATTGTGTATATCTCTATACCTAATAGATGTAATTTCGTTTGTTGAGAAATAAAAATGTATGTATATCATACATGTATATATAGTTTGGTTATAAAACATACTGATATTGTAAATGGATTTGTGTAACAAGGGCGGCAGTAAAAAGGTAAATTACCTTTACGAGAATACTAGTCTTCGAGAGGCAAAGGATACCGAAGGGACATTAGTCGAAAATAAACTGACAACGCTATGGCTATAAAGACAAAGACAAACAGGCAAACGGAAAAACAACAATACACAAAACAGAACATAGAAAAGGTTCCATATAACATTACATTCTAATACATAGAATCTAGAGAATTAAATAAATATGTACATATTGAACTATAATATTTCAGTTTTGATAAATTGATCTAGGTTGATCAGTTTCATTTGAATATAACCTTCAGTGCCTTGTGTGCCTCGCTGGTCAAACAAAGTAAAGGAGCGACCATTTGATATTCTGGTAGGGCAAGGAGGATTTTTTTCCAGATTCATAACTATTTTCATTTGTTGCTTTGCATGCTAAGTTTTCTTGTCGAAGATAGCGGACACTCGTATATAAACACTGGCCGATATGATAAAACCAAAGTCCTTGAAAATTGGGGTTAATACCAACAGATGTCATGAATAGAATGTGAACAACAGCAATCAACGTAAGGAGTTTGATAATGAGCAAAAATAATACTGTTATTTGTGAAAGGCCCCATGCTATAAAATTACGAAACTAGTATTTACGTTATTGATTCTATGTAAGATGCTGAACCTATGCATGTCCATATTGGAGATGTTCAGTGATACTCAACTTATCAGGTAGAAAAGTGGTATAATAGAACAGATAGAACAGATATATTGGACCTTACTAACATGTTGGATACAACAGACCAAATGAGGAACTAGTGCCCAGATGAGTAGCAATCCCTCATTCGAGTAATCATTTGATAGCGCTTAAAACGAATTTAACTTATGGATAATTATGTTTACTTAAAAATTGCCCATTTGGCGGGTTGTACCAAACTTTAGGCGGAATCAAAATTATTCGAAAATCAATAAGGATCGTTCATCTAGTAAAAGATTTTAAACTGTCATGAAGGCATGATGAAATGTATTGCAAACCTTATAATTCGTCTAATTTAGAATGAATATTCTATGATGCGACTTCGATATTGGTATACACTAGTTTTCATGTAACTCAGGATGTCAGTACATTTGTACGATGCATTTTCGCCTTCAGCCTTATTTACCTTGGTAGTGTTATGTTATTAATTACTAGATTTTCTTTATTGAATTAATAATTACCATGCAAACTTACGGGTGTCATAAGTGAATCAGGGTCTCCTTTCATTTCCTGGTCACATGATATCACCCAGTTTTATTGAAATTTGTGTTGCTCAGCCTTGTGGTTGGGTATTGTTTCAAATGTGCTATGTCTTGAGACTTTAAATTTGGTAAATAAGTTGCAGTTTCAATTAAAAAAACCTGATATTTAGGAGTAGTGTAAAAGCAATAATGTGTCAAAATGGGATTGCATATCTTCTTGTAGACTTTTTTTGGGTTGATATAGGAACCCTACAACGAAGACCATCTTTTATTTCGTTTTTGAATGTTCAAAAATCAATCAAAATCTTATACATATACACGTATACATGTACGTGTTCTTACACCAGGGCGATTTTTATCCGACGCAGCTCATTTTTATACAATCTTCATTTCTACAAATATTGAATGAATCAGAAATAGCAGAAATAGCAGTTACAGAGTCAACTTTTAAAATCCAATATTATTGTTCTAATTTGTATGTTTATACATAACTGGTTATAGAGTAACTATAATGCGTTATTGATATACAATGTCAATTATACTGATTGCCAGTTCAGTTGCATAATCAGGGGCGTTTCTATGATATTTGAAAGAGGGGGCGTATAATCAAATCTGTCATTTTTTTGGACCTTTTTTTTTGCTAAAAAACATAGTAATTGTGAAATGCACTAATGTAACGGTTCCTGACTTGGAGCATGTATATTTTATAGTTAAAGTGTCAGGGTTTGACATTTTTTATGCCGAATTCTCTCCATTAATTGTCTATGGTATATTAAATTGATTGGATGGATCTTAACAGCAGTAAACCAATAACGAGAAATTCCAAATTCTAGGGTATAAGGCGTTACTTAACATTTCAACAGTCCTAGGCCAGGATTTTATAAACGGGAGGCGAAATTACGGTTGCCCTGGTAGAGTGTCCATGGGGAAGCTCAGAAGCTCCTGGATTTCAACAATTTAGCATCAAATTGTGAAGTAGCCAGACTGATAAATATCTCTCTTTTTTAGATTAAGTTCTGGTTTCGTTGAACGACACACATGATACAAGACAAACAAACACTGACGTATAAAGTTCTTTCGTTCTAAATATTGTAGGCTTTGATGTGGAATACATGATTGAATATAAAAAAATGACGTCATTGTACTACAGTACTAAATTAAAGCAATCATGTCACTGTCTAGTTCCGATAGGTGGTATATGGTACATAAATAAATATGGTGCTTGAACTTCATGGCAAAATGTAGGTCAAAATTACTTATAGTTACTCACTTATGGATAGTGAAACAATATGATACTACCAAAGGCTATCCAGATGGGAATTAAAAAGGCAATACCAAATATACATGTTATAAGTATAAATGTAGCTTAACGCAAAACCTAAAATGAACACAGAAATACTGACGGACTCTCATTTTCAATGAATGGTAAGACTAGAGCGGATTCATTAGAACCATTTTCAGAGTATGTGTTTTATTAATGAATATGATAAATTGCCATATTCAACACAATATAAGCAGATTACGATAGTTGTGTTTGTTTTTTTTTTTAAAGGGGGGGGGGGGGGGGGGTACGCCCATTACGCCCTCACCTGGACCCGCCCCTGATAATGTACATTTGTAACTAATGGACAGAAGAGATTATTAAATGCATATTTTTCATTGGTCAATCAATTTAGTTTAAGTCATGATTATATAAACAGTCATACTAATGTACCCAAAGAAACAGGGTAGAAGTGATCAGTAGTTGTTACTTTTTTTCAAAAGCAATACTTATTGCTATCTTAAAATTCCTTAGAAACGTTCATGGTGAGGTTTGACGAGTGTCAACTTCCACATGTTTCAGATGGATGTATGAGTGTTAGAAGAAATGGTGGGATTGCCTACATGACATGTTTCCACCAGAGAACTTTGACATGGCTCTTGGTGTCGTTACTTCTGGTTATCGTTTTATTCTCCGCATCGTCATCTGTTGATACAAATATAAGAAGGTGTGGTATGATGCAAACGAGAAAACTCTCCACCAGAGACCAAATGACACAGAAATTAACAACTATGGGTCACCTTATGGGTTTCAACAATGAGCAAAGCTCATACCGAATATTCAGCTTTAATGGTTTTACACTAGTATTTTTTGGGGGTCCTTTATAGCTTGCTGTTCGGTGTGAGCCAAGGCTCCGTGTTGAAGACCGTACCTTGACCTATAATGGTTCACTTTATAAGTTTTGACTTGGATGGAGAGTTATCTCATTGGCACTCATACCACATCTTCCTATATCTATATATATGTAGGACTCTAAAGACCGATGGTACTCTAAAGTGCGATGGTCTACGCTAAAGTACGATGGTGTTCACGCTAAAGTGCGATGGTTGTTTGTTTGCTAAAGTACGATGGTATATCACGCTAAAGTGCAATGGACCAATAGGGTAAGGTTCGAGGGATTAAAACGTTAAAGTACATGGATGTTAAAAAATAGTCTTTTAGCAAAAGCTAGTATGCTAAGGTATAACACATAATTTACATGTAGGTTTAAGTGATTGTTTCTAAATTTAGAAGACCGACCACGTAATAATTGCTAAAAAGATAATTTAGGTGTCACAAAATACTTTATTTTCTGTAAAATGAATTTTTAAAAGATCGGGCGTATTAGATATTTGGATAATTGGTGTAGCTTGCCGTTCACACAGTCTATCACTAATGTGAACACCTCCCTTACAGTCGTCATTGTAAATTACAAATACAAAATTCGTTCATTGTCGGAATATGTAACATCTATTTGTGTAAGCTTAAATTTTAATGCGAGAGAAAGGCGATGTTCCCCGAGCTTTCTCCTTTTTCGTAACGAGTACAAATACATGTTATAATTTCCCACACTGTACAAACTATATTTTAGCCGACAATTTATAATTTACGCTTAAAACATGTACCTTTATTTTACCGACGTTACTTTTCAATAAAATCGACAATATTTTAAAGGGGACCGCAAAGTAACTGCAACGTAAACAATGATTTAAAATTAATGTATCCGTTCGCTTCCAATAGGATACCTATGCGTATACTATTTTGTATCTATATAGTAAAAAGGTCAGTTTAAAATTTGTCAATCAAATATTCTCAATTTTTCTTCCGGCATGTTCATTTTTGGTTTGTATAAACGACTGTTAACGTCATAATCCAACTACGTTTCTTTCGTCTATACTTTCGCGGACCATCGTACTTTAGCGTATGGAGGCATCGCACTTTTAAATTAGCGCATACCATCGCACTTTAGCGTGACCATCGTACTTTAGCGTCTCCATCGCACTTAAGAGTCCTACATATATATAGATGGCCCCGAAATGACAAGTAAAACAATTCAAACGAGAAAACTAACGGCCTTATTTATGTACAAAATAATGAACAAAAAAATTTAAATAGTACACAGCAACAAACTACAACCACTGAATTACAGGCGCCTGCCTTGGTACAGGAACACACGAATGTTGCAGGATTAAACTCGTTTGAAGGTGCCTACACCGCCCCCCCCCTCTAAACCAGAGACAGTGGTGTAACAGTAAAACATAAGAACTCACCAGATGGTTACAAATAGAAATACATCTAACAAAAACACAGGGTGGACGTGGCCGTGTACTGGTGCATCCCAACAACAAAAATATTGTATATTAAAAATGAGCAATCAGGTGTATACCCCTGAACTACAATCATGTTGTTCGTCCAACCGTAATATTCGCAAAAACTTTTTAATAGAAGAATTTCATATTTAATCATCAGGTTGACTTTCATGGGTTGTAGCGAGTGACCATTTTTCGGCTCAGTCATATACCTTATCCTTATTTTCCGATGCCGGATTAATCTTCAAAATCTTTCATCTCATATTTTATCTCTATTCTAGCTTCTACTAAACAGAATTAAACCATTGTGGTGACGTCAGCCTATTCATTTACCGTGGATTCTTTTTCTAGAATCAACGCTTCCTAAATCTGCCGCTGAAATTGACTCACCAAATTATATTCAATTGTTTCCTTTGTGTGCCTAATTTCATTAAGTTTAAATTG